TTTCAATAAAACACTTTTTGACCTTAGGTGTCTAAATGAAAGATATAGATATCGTTAAACTACAAACATGCATAAAAAGAACGCTCAAATCGGACATTGTATGAAAAAGTTATGAATTTTTAAAGAAATTTCTTAATCACGTCATTTTAATAAATAAATAATAAAAATAATTTCGGAATTTGCCGACGGAATCTAAACGAAAGTTGTAGATCTTAGTCTCACCTACGCGTGGATATAAAGAACGTCGAAAACGGAGTTCGTATGAAGGAGATATGAATTTTTGAAGTTTGATAAATAATTAATATATATTTTTATTCAAAAATTCGGTATTATCCGAAGTCTGAGTCACGCGAGTACGCCCAGCGTACTCGAGGCCACGGCCTCGGATCGTCCACGTCGCCCCTATGCGAGCCTACCCCCCGTCCCGTCCGAAGTGCGAGGCAGTCGAGGACTCGGTCATGCGTGACGTACGCGTACGCCCGCGTACGTACGACGTACGAGGCGGTTCCAGCCCCCTATAAAAGGGATGCGAGGGTTCCCGGAAAAATTGCTCATTCTCTCTCTCTTTTCTTGCGTTTTGCCTCGTTTTCCGTGCTCGCACTACCCCGAAGCCCTGGTCATTTTGTGCAAGTCCCGAAGGTCGATTTTACTCCCGAGAAATCCCGAGAATCCCGAGGAAAATCCATTTCCCGAGACGAAACTCTGCCCGGTTTTCCATCTTGCTATCTTCAAACTTTCAAGTGAGTTCATACCCCTTTCAAACACACTTTAAATACATTTTAAATGCTTTTATACTCTTTTAGGGGGGGAATACAAGTAAACATACGGTTATTATCGTGTATTTTATAAAGTTTCACTTCGCTTGTTTTACCGAATAAATCACTTGGAACTCATTACTATTATGGAAAACTCTTGTCATACTTTGTGTGCATTAGACTTATGCAAAGTATATAATGATTTCAAAGTACCTTTCATTGTTAAGTCGTTTTATACATTCTAAAAACTTATGATTTATGCTTTGTCAAACATTGTGAAAAAGGATAAACTTTGCATACAAAAACTATCACTTTAATACAGGCTTAGTTGAGAATCCATGAGACGTGTATATCTTCAAACGTTACTTTTCTTTATTAGAAAGTAATGCTGCAAGTCCTGTCTATAACCAGAGTCTCCCGTTCGGAGAACGTGTCAAATGTGTATAGATCTATACGGGAAGTCATGATCCCGCGCCCTGACTGTTAGCTACAGTCCGTCTTTGGGGTGACAGTTGTCATAACGCTGCGACGCCTGAAGAACGTCGTTACAGGCATATTATGTTTAGTATGGTTATAAAACTCATCGGATATACAATTATTATGGTATTATGCTTTTATGAACGAGTAGTAAAACTATTCTTCATCTAACAAATGCGATCTTCGTATAGCTTTATTATATAAAACTATGACACAACTTTTAAGAACGTCGTTTCTTGCAACTTTCGGTCTTAGAGACTGCCAGTCATGTTAGGAAAATAAGGGTTTTTCCTGTATACAAACCAAACAACTAATAGGAAAATAAGGGATTTTCCTGGTGCAATTATTTACAACTTATAACACGAACATTCATATGCATTTCATACTTTTATAAGAAAATAAGGGTTTTCTTGGAAAACACAACAATTCATATCTCAACCATTAGGGAAAATATGGGATTTTCTGGATCTAATACATTCATTTTCAACACAACAAGTCATAACTCTTCACACTTGAAATACTGAGTTTTCTGGAAAACATACACCCATTTTGGAATGGCATTCAATTTTTCTAAACTACTTACGAACTCACCAACTTAATTGTTGACACTTTTTCTTTGAAATAACTTGTATTCTCAGGGAACCGCTAAGCAGGTTTGGAAATCAACTTTTGGGATTAACGCGCTGGCGTTAATTACTTCTTTTGAAAGATGTTTATGTATTTATCTTTTGAACATGTAATGAATACAATTATGTAAACATCTTGGAAACTTTAATATATATGGTGGTGTGTACTTTCCTTTCTATGAACTGTTATGATACTGAATATGACGTCCTCCGCCCCCGAACGTTTCCGCCGTTCTGGTTTGGGGGTGTGACAGATTGGTATCAGAGCTTTGTTTATAGGGAATTAAGTATATCAAAACCATTTCTTTTTGGTATACAACTATAAACTCAACTGGGCAAAAACACTCTGAGAAGAGTCATACTTTTGAAATTAAATTTATTTAGTTTTAAGGTAAGCATGCACTCATTTCATACTAATAACAGTTTTATATCGAATAACTCTATAAGTATTATAAATAAGTTGTGCAGTACAGGTACGCCTTGGGACATGTAATCGGAACTGGGAAGAATATAGCCTGATCAACTATATTTGTCCGAGAGCCGACTAACGTATGCCAATGAGTGTCTGCAGTGGACAACGATTTTAAAACTTACCAAAAGCACATCATTACATAATAATAAGGGAGTTTTTGTGTTGCCATCAACCATTAAACTTAAGGGTGAGTTTCATGTGCTCTAGCTTATAGTAAATTTTTAACCCTATTCTCGTACAGTCTAAATGGCGGGATTCCATCACCCCAATGACCCCTACTACCCCAACCAAGGTAATGGAGGATGGATCAAAGAAGATCCTGAAGAAGACGAAGAGCCTATAGAGTTGGAGGAAGGGGATGACTCTAGCACAGATTCGGAGCCATAAATTATCAATCCACCAATCCCACAACCTCCCGTTCACGTGAGGAACTTCCAAGGACCCACTCCTGTGTGGGGAAGTCACCTCCATCATTGGAGCCAACAACAAAGCTTACGCCCTCCCTACGGCATGTGCCGAGACTTCTATGATGTCAGAGGCGGGGGATCAGCCGACCGAGCACTTCCGGTCATGGTTGGCAAACTCGCCAACCAGTGCTATCAATCCGGAGTGCAAGCCAACCGAATCCGAGAGGTCAATGTGGAAGTACAAATCCACACGGCCGATATCAACCGCCTAGAGATGTTGCAGAACGACATCCACATTCGCGCCGAAGCATTTCAAGCACAAGCAAATGCAGCCTTCGCAGAATTGAGGGAACAACAAGCTGCGTTTGATAGGCGCCTCATGGAGTCGAAGCAGTCCGACACGGAGTCGAGCTCCAAACGCAAACCGCACCGCAAGTAGTACTTGCCCGACTCTCAAATTTTGTTATAAATTAGGACTTCGGATAAAAGTATTATTTTCTTTAAATTGTTCTGTAATCGGAGGCCTTTAGAAAGGTCAAGAACTTTTGTCTAGACCCCGCTGTAACACAACTATATGTTTAATATATATAAGGGTATATCCCTTTTCTTGTTGTTAATCATGCGTAGTTCGTTCAATTCATAGGTACATCTATTCAAACTTTATTTTCAAGCTCAAAACCTTGTGTCGGTCAAACCCAATTTCTTAGAACTATTAGAAGTTAACTCAATATCATTCAACTCTGAACTACCAAAACTTATAAATCTTTCATTTTCTTTTGGCAGCGCGATGCCTCCTCGTCCAAACCTAAGGCCCAGGCCGGGCACGACACCACCACCACCTCCACCACCAACTTATGATCCAGCCATGGTCCAGGCTGCTATCACAGCAGCAGTAACTGCAGCCCTCTCGCAAATAAACTCCCACGGAAATGGAGGGGCAGGAAGCAGCACGAATCATTCAAATCATGGCACTGGTCATGGCCAAGTAAGAGAATGTACTTACAAGGAGTTCTCTAATGCTAAGCCAAAAACTTTTAATTGAATTGGGGGGTCATTGCACTAATGCAATGGTTCGAGAAGACAGAAACGGTCTTCGAGATCTGCTCATGCC